TATATATATATATAGAAAAAAAATACTGCTTAGGAAAACAACAATTTCATGTCTTCGATTGTTAATATGTTGGTTAAAACGGTTCCACTTAAAATATTTTTTGCAAGGTCAAGTTTCTTATCCTGAAGTTGCTTAACTTTTTCTTCAATCGTATTAGAACATATAACTCTAAAAAATTTCAAATTATTTCAAGTTGATATAGTAATTCCAAAAAAATTCAAAATTTTCATAGTTGATTTAATGTCTACCTGTAAATTTTGACATTATTTTCTTGTCCAAAGCGATATATCCTGTCCTGGGCTTGAGTTTCGAGTTGAGGATTCCAATGGAGATCGATGATGAGTAAGTTGTTTGCGCCAACAAGATTCAAGCCTACACCACCGCAAGTTAACGACAAGAGAAGAATGTTGAGTTTTTCCTCCGGATCATTCAATTTGTCGACAATGAACTGTTAAGATTTATTCAACTTTTTTAGTGATTCAATAAATTATAGTCAAGGGAATTATAAATTATTAAACCTTACTTGTCTGTCTTTCACTGGAACTTGGCCAGTGAATCTGCCATAATTGGCACCATCGATTTTATTGAGGAAGTGAGCAATGACATTTAAAAAACTCGTCCACTGGGAAACTACGACAACTTTTTCCCCTCTGTCTAAAACTTCTTGAATGATTTTCAAAACAGCTCGAACCTATTTTTCATATCAATAAAAGTCAACATTCTTTAAATCGATTTAATAATTTTTTAATAAATAGGCGCACCTTGGAGCTTTGCCTATCCATTCGAAAGACAGGATTTGATCTAGACAAGACATTCTTAGCTATTTTTTCGTCAACTTCGGACCACTCATTGTCGCTCTCTTCTTCGCTTTCTTCAGCAATAACTTTGTTGATTTCATCAATGACGTGAGAATTTACCGACTCAGTTTGTTCAAAGCCACATAACTCCATATCTTCTTTGTCCAGCATTACAGATATCAATGAAGCATGACAACACATTTGACGCAGTCTCAGAATAAGTGTTAGAATGAAGTGGGGTTCAATTTGTTTATGATGTTTTAGTAAGAATTTCATAGATTTTGGAAGTTTCTCGGGCACCTCTGTTTTAACAAGATAAAATTTTTTGAGTTGCAGAAGTAAAGGAAAGCGAAACCGAAAACTAGTAGAGGAAAACGCAAAAATTAAAATACCTTGAGTAATGAGAGAGTGACTCTTGGGATGAAAGCCGTGGAGTTTGAAATACTCTTTGTCTTTGCGCTGTCTCAAAAATTCCACAAAGTACGTTTGCGAAAACATCAATAGTTTATGATACACCATCATCTCGTCAGAATCCAACTCGATTTCAATAGTATGGACTTTCTTGTCCGGCAAGTTTGCAATCATACCTTGGGTGATCAGCTCTTCTTTGGTCCTACGAAGCATCAGCGACTTGGTAATCACAACAAGTCTTTGACTACCCATCGATGTACACTTGGCAACCCATTTGCGCCAGACTGCGGGCTCATCAAAGGGCGAGCATTTTAAAAACTTCAACAAAGCAAAAAGGTCGGTCTCTTTGTTTTGGATTGGGGTTCCAGTTAGAGCCCACCTGCTACGCGCGATTACTTCGCAACAAGCGGTATTTTGTTTCCCCTTGTGATTGCGTATGAAATGAGCTTCGTCGAGAATAACCCGCTCCCAATGAATCTGGTTTATTAAAAAAAAAAAAAAATTGAATGAATTTTTTTTTTACAAAACTTCTATACAAATATTATGGATATTCATCATAGAGAAAATAAAACAATTACCTTGTAAAGTCTTGAATCCACGTGCCGCTTGGGTACAACATGCAATTCATGTTCTTTGGCTAACAAGTGATAGCTAGTAATTACTATATCATACTTTACAAGTCTTTGCTCAGTGATAGTTTTATTACCACCTCCATGGTAAACGTAAGACTTTAAAAGCCCTGGACGCACTTTAGTATGAATTTCTCTCTCCCACTGTTCGATTAGAGAGGGAGGGCAGATCAACAGAGTTCTGCCGTTATAGACTGAAAATGTATAGATTGAAAATATAACGTATTGCCAAACAATCATTGTTACTTGAAAACCCTTACCTTGACGCGGATGTGGAACAACACCCCAATTATCATCCAAGTCATCATCACTGTCTTCCACAGGAGCTCCACTAGCCTTTTCTTTTTCTTTTCTTTCATTTTTTGCATCCAGGACAAGTGATATCAACTGAAGTGTTTTACCTAAGCCCATATCGTCGGCTGTAAATAAAAAGCGTAATCAAGATGACGATCAAAATTGATATTAAAATTCATTATTTTCAAACATCGTTATTTTATAATACCTAGTATGCCACCACAAGGCTCCTGCTCTTCTCTCCATTTCATCCATTTCAAAGAATGCTTCTGATGAATCATCAAAGGTACTTTTAGACCCTTTGGATTTTTTTTCACGGGATCTTTTGGAATATTTAATATAGAATTGTACAGCCTCTTGATACATTTCGTGGTAAGAAGCTTTTCACGCCGATACTCTTTATATCGCTTATCACCCATAGCAATGTTTTTATTAAAACCTCCCTTTGGCCTTCTAATCATAGCACCAACATCAAAGTTGATGCTATCTTCGATGTTGGGAAACAGCATGTCTGCCACTTCATCCGTGTAGTCACTGTCATCCTCGTCGTCACTGCCATAATCGTTATCTTCATGATACTGGCTATCGTTGCTATGATTTATGCTGTCATCATCTTCATCAGATTTTTTATCCTCATCCTCATCTTCATCCTTTTTGAAAGTTGATCTTAAGTAATCGTGATTACCAGGTATATTCATTTGTTTCTCGATCAAAGGAAACTGAGACGTTGATGGAGTAGCTCCATCAAAAACATTATGGCAAACAACTAAAAAGCCGGAGTTAAAGAATTAACTATGTCTTTATATTATTAATATTTTTACTTACCAATCCTACCTCTTTTTGGATTTCTGTTTTCGGCATTTCCATCAAAACCCAATTTTTCACTTGGGCGTTTTTTCAAATTCAAAGGACTGCTTTGTGGTTTATCAAGGTCTAAAATAAAATTAATTTTGCTCTGTTGACTTAAATAAAAGCTTCAGTTTAAGAGTCTTATTTCTATTAGCATTCTTACCTCTTGTGGATAGACTGGAAATAACTCCCACAACGGGTACAGATTTACTTGGAGTAACTTTGTACACGCTCAGTGCAGGAGTAGGTACTGAAGAGGACTGTGGAGGTGGACTGGGAGAACGTTCCGGTGAATTTTCGGGACTTCTTATGGCGTACTGAGCAATGGTCTTGCGACTACTTCTGCGAGTCGCAGGCTTTTTGGGTGGTTTTTTCTTTTCATTTACATCGATTGAAGGAAACTGTGCCAAGAAATCGTCATCATCCGGAAGTTCCACCTGTTCCTTTGGACAGGATTGCACAGTGAGAGGACTAATTGAAGACACAGGATCCCTTGAAGAGCTAGAAATGAAAAAAAATAATGAATAATTCATGCATATAGTACGTAGATGCTCGTAAAACTCACCTGGTAAACTGGTCAATGTCAAAGTCTTCATCTAGTTGCAAAGATGGTAATTTGTCAATAGTGTAGTGCCTTTCATCCATAGGAGTTGACGAAAGCTCACTTTCATCACAAGGTTCGTAGATGACACTTGGAATCTTGGTCATTGTGTTTTCAGTTACTTCTGCAGTTGAAGAAATACCACTACTCAACCGGACAGTTTCTATTCTGTTAAATGATTCCAGGTTGCATGAAATTATTCGAAAAGTCGTTTTGCTGATACAATTAATGAACATAAATATTTGATTAGTCAGAGTGATTTTCATAAAAAAGTTTTTTTTATCTATTATATTTGGAGGTGATAAAATTGTTGTTAAAGAAACATCATAATCTACAAACATGTAACCCTAGAAAAAAATAGTTCCATCAAAAATATATAGCGATGAATCGAAAAATTATCAACAAGTCTCCTTTAAAAAAAAGTTAGTCAATCAAATTGGGAATTTTCAGAAGACATCAAAAGAGAGCACACCCTACACGTGCCAACAAAAAAAAAAAATTCAAAAACTGAAAAGCGGAGAAAAATCATTCAGACCCCGACATCACATCGTTATTCTCGAGGTCACTGACGACGGTGCTCGGCTCGAGGGCGGAAGCCGGCTCCTCTCCTCGGTGCTGCAGCGTCTCGTTCCACGCCGGCATACTTCAAAGACGCAGTGACAGCTCTGCTACTCATACATGCCTGTGGTGTTAATGATCGAATATCCGTGATTTCAATATTATTCCGTTCAAAGAAAATCATGTCAGAATGTATAATAGGTACTCACAAAAACGTATTTTTTTTTTTTTTTAAATCAAAGATTCACGTGTCTTAATGAGAATTACTTCAATAAAGTAACCGTGCTACGAAGCGAGTGCAAATAACATGTAAGTCTGTCTCTCTCGACCAATCCTGTAAACAGGATTGGACCAGTCGACCAGACGGAGACGAGCTCGCTTTTCATCCCGTCAGTTACACACATATATATATATATACGTAAATGTAGATGATTCGTTTGCGCGGGTAACCGGAAAGAGCGATTGTGTTTTGATATTCGATTCGGCAAACACCTATGCATGTAAAAATGAAGTGACGGTCGAGCTTGGTGACGATTATTTTACAATTCTTTCGGCAGTGCTCATATTTTGATACTTGCTCGTCGACTTGATTAATCAAAAATTGGGAAATCCACCGTCACACACCGTGTTGTCTTACGTTAATTAGCGCCAGAGATTTTAGCGCAGTTGATTGTACTTGCTTATAGATTATAAAGGGAAAGGGGGGGGGAGAGAAAACACAGACTACATGAATCAAAAATTGTCACAACCAACTTCCGGTGATAGATGCTTTTTTTGAAATTTGTTGTGTAACATCAAAATATTGTTGCATATATAGGTATGATAACAATTAATTTTCTGATCAAATATCTGCAGCAAAGTGTAGGTGTTGAAATCTTTTTTTTCATCTAATAAACAACACGCCAGTCATCGTCAACTAAATTGTTCGCTAAGTGGGGGGAGGATATCCTCGATAGTTGGCAGGAGAGGAAGGGTAGGTAGGTAGGGTTACCGACTGAATGCCGCCCCTACCGGCTTGTGAATTGTGAAAATCGTAGCACGTTGAACAAAACCTTATTGCGTACCTAAGTACTTGGTGAAAAAACCTTAGAAAAAACTACTTTTCTCTCTCAAAAGTAATAAAAGTGTCCTTATATGCAACTGCGTTGAAAAGGTAAGTAATACTTAAAGATAATTTATAATTATCTGAAGACAGGTGATCGAAAATAATTTTTTCCAACAGCGGCACTTTTTTCACCTAAGTACTTAAGGTATAAAAATATGGATGACCAACAACGCCCGTCAAAGTGGAAAAATGAAAAACAAAAAGGAACGTGGAGAAAAAGTGAGACGGTGGTGAATACCAGAAAAAGGAAGAGATCTGGCGATCCGAATGCGGAAACAGAAATGAAGAAAAGAAAATTTGACAAAAGGAAACTGGGTGACGATGATAGCGTGGTTAACAGAGAAACAAAATTGCAAAAACACGATGAAGGAAAGGAAGTGAGAAAAAGGGAAAACGACAGAAGTGCTGTTAATAAAAAAAAACGAAATGACAAGGATAGTGTAGATAACAACAGAGAAACAAAAAAACCAAATTTTAATGAAGTGCCTAATAGCCATAGGGAAGGATCAATGGAACGACAATTTTCCTTTGATTCTACTGTATCTACTACAGAGATAAATTATCACATCTCTCAGTGCTTGAAACTTAATGTAGAAGACAAAATTAACGATAAAAATGTCTTTCAGCTGAAAATGATTGATTTTTTGGCTCATTCTCTAAGAATACAGAATCCAAACATATCTAATTTAAATGTTGCATCAGCTTGTTTGGACATAAGTGGCAAAATTTATGGTTTGAGAGTTGACAAAGTCTATTCAGATCTTTGGAAGATTTTTGGCGTTTTTTTGAATGGAGAACGAGACGATTTGAATGAAGATGATGATCCATTGAATAATGAGGGCGTGATACGTCTCAAGAAGAAAAAAAAGAGGGCTAATTATAACATCATTACTAAAATTGAAGCTTTAAAAGGTAATGTGGAAATTTATAATCCTTTTGAACTCATTCATGTACAAAAAGACACCCTGACTTCTGATATGCTGCTACAAGCTCGTACACCTCAACATGTGAATCATGGAGTGGCTTTTAATGTGTACGATGATGTAGTTGTTGACAAATTGTTGCCAGTTACGGCTCGACCATCAAAATTTAAAATCTCTGCAATTATCAATGATGAAAATTCTATAAATAAATCATTCTGTGAGTTTAAATTTCTTGATGGTTTAGCCGAAGAGTACATTACAGTCCAAAAAAATGTTGAAACAAGTACCTTCTCTCAATATCGTTTTAACTTGAGTGATGATGAGTCTGCTGAATTTGACGATTTCTTTGAAGATACTAGACTCACTATTCATAATGAGATGAATACAACTGCGGTACCAGCAAATAATCTACCAAGCAATGATGATGTTGATTTTCAGGACACAATCGTCAATAATGCTAATCTAGATGTTAACTACGAGTACTCGTATTTACAAAGCAGACACAAGTTGAGATGGGGAGGACCGTCTCATTGGAAAATTATGAATAAAGATCAAATTTCGATCAAACCAACAAAAATAGTCAAGAATCTGAATTCAAAAAAAAGTAAAAAAAAGGATTACGTGATATCTTTTGAAAAGAATTCTATTGAAGATATAAAGTCTAAATTTGACCAAAAAATAGTAAAAAGTAATTTTCAATCCAATTGGTTGGGTAGGAAACTTCTGATTTGCAAAAAAGACGAACCTTACGATGTGGGAAGGCTTGATATTTTTTATTTAAAGCCCCAATGGGATATATTTTCTAATTATAAAGAAGAGAAAAATGAAGTTATTTATCTCAATGACTCAGGAGTTGATTTCAATGATCTTGATGATTTAGATGATGTTATAGAAACTGTTGAGGTCGACGATGTGATAAAATCAATCCAAAACAACTTAAAAAATAGTCCTGACAATTCTACTTTTTCAAAACAATCTCCATTTCAAAGTCAAGAGAGTATTCCTAATGAATCAAGAGTACCTCTAACCAGTCAAATGAATTATATACCCGATGAAGCATTGCTTACATCTGCAGATAATCGTATTCCTTCTAACCAGGTATCTGTTCAAAGTACGTCCAATACAATTAGACCACATAGAAATTCTCTTGTGAAAAAGGCACGTCAAGAAATCATTTGTAGTAATTTATTACCATTACCTAATTTAAAGAGTCACCAAAATATCCTAAAACAAAATGAAACAACAGTGCAAGAAGATCAAGGAGGTTTTACGCACAATAATTTAGTATCAATGCCTAGAATAATTGAGACTGCTCACATACAATACGCTTTGAGACCAAAAGTAATCGACATGCGTCGATTGCAGAAAATTATGTGGAGAAACGTGAAAACTTTACAAAATGACGATGAATTTGTAGAGCAGAAAATTTTAAGTTATATTTATTCTAAAATTAAGCATGAATTGAAATTTCCCTTGAGCCCAGCATTGGCATTTATTTCAATGCTACACTTAGCAAATATAAAAAAATTTTTTATCAAGAACTCTGAAGACATTTCTGACATAACGATGTAAAATTGATAGTAAGAATGAATTGACTGTGCAAAAAATTTTTTAATAACTTTTTTGATGCACTGGAAATGGTTTTTAAATTCATCAAATCTAATCTAATATTTTATCGTTTTTCATTTTTCTAATGAAAAAATTTTATTATCGATCAAAATGTATAAAAATCTATACAAGTTTTCTTGATATTGATAGTTCTTAACATAAGGGTTTAAAAATAGTGTAATCTCTAAATATTTAAGATTCGTTGTAAAGTTTGTATTTATAACATTTGTTGAACAAACGTTTTAATGCATGTTGAGAAATTTTGTAAAAATCTTTTCAAGACACTTTTCTCATTCAAAAGATGCTTTAAAACATTGCCATACATCACAAAAACATTGTAAATGTTCGCTTATTTTATGTAATTTTAGCTAAATAAATATATCATTGGTGATAAAGTAATTTTAATAAAATATTCCGAATTTGAATAATCGACTGAGAAAAAATAACTGTAGTAAGACTAAAAAAAAATAACGAGTATACATTGATCATTTAAATTACTTCCATTGAAAGAGCAAGTTTTTCTTTTTCTTTTAAACTAAATTTGAACTAACTTGACCGGACTAAGGTACACGCACATAGTGACTAGTGAGTAAAATGACAATATACACACAAACACAAGTCGCGGGGGGTTCAGTTCAGGGATAGCGGAATCGCACCATTCGCACCTGCGCTGCTGGCTCGTATGCTCGTAATACATGAGCCTCGTATTATCATTATCGTCGTCGTGGTCGTCGTCGCACACACATCTCTTCCTTGCTCTTCTCTGTCGGTGTGTCCCCATCAAACCAGATCAAAAGCGCAGTGGTGCAGTTGTCTTCAAGGAATAGTTCCATTGATCTCTGACGCAGTAAACGAAGCTCCAAATCGTCGCAATGGTAAGCTTGACTTCTATTTCACAATTTTGGAGCTGCTAAGGTGAAACAGAAATAAATAGAAAAATACTTGAAACAAAAGTGGGAGAGAAGGAACAGCAGAGGGAACGCGCAAGCACCTCGTCTGCAACCCACGGGGAAATCGATTTTTTCCTCCTCGCGTTCTCTAGCACGCATTGCTGCGTGCCTGTCCTCGACCCTCTGGTGCTGCTGGTGTTCCCTCCCCTGGGAGAGCTTTCGTCTCTCACTCTCTGTCTCCGTCTCTTGTACTTTTTTGTTCGTTTTTCATTATTTTCTGCATCTTAGCATTATTTTTCCTGTTCACAATACATATGATGAGTAACACTTTGTTTATGTTTTGCAGGGAAATGAGAACTCACTGGCCATGGAGCTTTGCTCTAATTGTAAGTCCTGTATGTTCATTTTTTTCTTTTAAGTGTTGTATTTAACTAGATATAAACTACCCATAATGTCCGACCTTCACGAAAAAAATTAAACACTTTTTAATGATTGAACACAATTTGAGATTAATGTGAGACTAGTTGTTTTTTTGTTTTTTTTTCTCTCTCTCTCTTTGTTACTTATTAGCCAGATGTTTTGGAATTGCAAGAATTACTCAATGCTGTATGCTTGCTTTTTGTTGAAATTCAATATAAATGTTATCAGCTCTATTGATTGAATTTTGCAAGTTTTTTTTCCAAGCGCAGAGCAGCTCTATAACGTTTCTGTTTAAGCTGCTTGCACATATGAAGTTAAATATCTTGTGAAGGCGTTCACTTGAATTATGAATTATAAATTTGTCTCTAACATGAATTATTATGAAATATATTTTGCGAAGGTTTTTTTTTTTTTAATGTGCCCCATTGAAAATTTATAAGTTACTGTTACAAAAGAGTGCCTTACTGAATAAAATAAGGCATATTAATTATTTACAGTCGATGCAGACGAAATAAGAAGGTTGGGCAAAAGATTCAGGAAACTGGATCTAGATAACAGTGGTGCTCTCAGTATTGATGAGTTCATGACTTTACCAGAGTTGCAACAAAATCCTTTAGTACAACGTGTCATAGACATATTTGATGCAGATGGAAATGGAGAGGTAGATTTTAAAGAATTCATCCAAGGTGTATCTCAATTCAGCGTCAAGGTGAGGCCACAAACTCGATAAAACATTTATTTTAAAATATTATCTTCCTATCACTTTAGAAAATAATACATTATACATTATTTATGTATTACAGGGTGATAAGGAGAGCAAACTGCGGTTCGCCTTCCGAATATACGATATGGACAATGATGGTTTTATTAGTAATGGTGAATTGTTCCAAGTACTAAAAATGATGGTAGGAAACAACTTGAAGGACACTCAGCTACAACAAATAGTCGACAAAACTATATTATTTGCTGACAAAGATGAGGATGGCAAGATTAGTTTTGAAGAATTCTGTTCGGTGAGTTTTCTTACTTTAGTGTCTATCAATAAACATAAGCAATACATTCAGTGCATCATTGACTTTTTGACTGTAAAAACTGAGTTGATAAAAATTTTTTTTTTTTTTTTTAGGTTGTCGGTAATACCGACATTCACAAGAAAATGGTGGTTGACGTTTAAGTAAACGAAAAAACGCGTAAACACTCAAAGTACTAATAATCGCGATGATTCGATTGGGTATTATCATAAAAATGAAGAAGTACTTTCTTTCTAAATCCCTTACAATTTTGTCTTTGTATGAATATTTATACATTTGCTAAACTAATGCATATCGTAACTTGAGAAAGAGAAAAGATCAAATCGCATCTGCGAGATTATAGAGGTCAACTCCATTTAACACACAAAAAGAGATCTTTGAGGAAAAAAAAGTCAACTCAGGTTAAATTAGCGAATTAAATAGAAACAGATTGTTTAAAGCATGATGACTTACTACATAAGGTAATTTTTGAATCTTTATTTTCCTCAAATATCCAAGTTGACCTTTTTGTAACTCAATCATTTAACTTGCGGGTTAAATCGAGTTGGTATGTTTTTTATAGCAGAGGCAAAATCTTCCCTTCTCCTCAGGAGACGATTTATGAAACTGTACTTGCCTCTGGACGCATATCTTCTTGCCAAATACCTTACTTTTGTACTCGTGATTTCCTGATGGATATTAAATGTGCAATATTATTGAGTACTTTATAATCGTGTGCCTATTATACCAAAGTATATTTCTGAGTTGAAAAAAAAAAAAAATCATGTCTTTAAAATGTACTGCTTTAATCTATTTGGTGTGCAATTGATTTTAATACATTAGCTTAGAAATTTGTTTGCATTAAAATTTTGTAATATTGAAATATGATAATACCCAAAATTTTAAATTGTATTGATAACTGAAAAATAAATCTATTTAAAAAATAGGACGAGAAGAGTACGAGTTGAAAAAAAGAAAAAAAAATTATAAATATAAAAATTAAGTGATTGTCATCTTTCATAAATATAAAAGAATTTCCATTTTTATGAGAATTATATAAATATATATATTACATCATTATACCGTCGCTACGATTTTACTTATGGTAGCGTTAATTATCATTATTTGTATGTGTATAATGATCTCTTCTTGTCCCTTTATATGCTAGAGTATTTCGTTAAAAACAAATCCAACAAAACTATTAAAATTATTACGATAATCTTTCAGCACTTTCTGCTCGAATCAGTCACTTCTACCTCTACAGGGTTTCGTTATAGCCCTTATGTACCTTAACTTATTGTTACCTGCGAGAATACACTTGTAATTTATATACATATAGTAAATAATGAAAGATAAAGGTGATAAAAGCGTTGCAAGCCAGTAAAAACTTTTTTTGTAAAAATATCGGTAGTTTATGTCGATTTAGCTGATGGAAAATGAGATTCAAAGAAATATTTAAAAGTGTATAGAGCGACAGAGTTGTCGGAAAACTACGCGCTAAAAGTCTTAGATTTTTTTCTACTATGTGCTGCATACTTGGGTTCTAGAACTTTAATTTAAAAAAATTTTAATTTGCCCATGTTATTAATTGTAATTGATGAATTTAAAATCAAATAGAAGATTGTGCTGTTTTATATTAACAAAAAATTTTAATAACAATTTTCACGTGAAAATTTTTTACAACCACGATAAAAAAAGTATGATTGAGGTGTTGCAAAAAGTTTTCTAATTCNGCCGGCCAGGACTACATTACCACTTTCCCTGCACACTCAGACGATATCCTCGAGTTCGCCAAGCTGCTCTCTGAAGACACCAATCGAAATGTTAGGGGATATGTAGCAACTCCCATAAAAAATACTACCATACCTGATCCACACGAACCAGTCTCCACCTCCAGTGTCGGATACGGAGAACTTCTCGCTGCGAATCAGGATGGCTGCGCATTTTGTCCTGTCACAGAACCAGCCTCGGCCCGGTAACGTTCGGGATGGCTCACTTATGAAGAGCTAATCCACCCCCCAGGCCCGGGAAAACTGGTCCAGCAGATCGTGAGCGAGCACGATCCTATCCAGGTTTACCTGCATAAATTTGTATCTATTTTTAACCGATGCACATAATAGCAGTTATTGTTTTGTGCTTTCACGTTCACGAATAAGGATCGTTGAGTCTTTTTTTTTTTTTTTTTGTGCTAATCTCGGATTGTTTGGTAGATTCCCGAAACAGATCGCCGAATCACATGCCCATATGCTTACATACACGTGCTAACACGAACAGCATAAATGATATCAGCGCATTCGAATTGTTGTATCAAATGCCAGGATGCATAACACGAAAAAAAGCAATTATATGTAGTTGTACAAAACTGTATGTTGTGATCATAAATGCTCGCATGTAAAGTAATTTCCCTCAACAGCAGTTTCAAACACATGAAATACCTAGATCGAGAATAGTAAACAGCAAACAACGATGTAGTGAAACAAAACAAAAATTAAATCGATACAAAATGGAAATTAAAAAAAAACACGCCTCTGTAAGTTAAGCGAGAGTGCGAGCGAGTGTTTGTTTGAATGTATGTTTTACCATATGTTTGTGCTAAAGACTGACACACATACATGAGTATAGGAACCTTGGCATCATCTTTCGAAGCGTCTTCAATCCACACTTGCCGCGGATCACAACTACGTATCGCATGGTCATTAAAAATTTCAAATTTACAATGATGATTCAATATTATGTATGTTACAAACAAGTATAATATGCATATGCTGATATTACAAGAATAAAAAAAAATCTTATTCTACCGTTGTAACTATTTGTATATGTACATGTTACGTGGTCTCACTGAATGTTCAAAGTTGATTAAAAAAATGAAAAAAAAAAAAAAATTATAATAATAAGTCACGAATCATATTGAAAAGAATCTCTTATACCTAAATAAAATATTTGAAAAAAAGACCTAAATCTCTCTGTTTTCCAGCAATTTATACCGAGGAATGAAGTCTTTTTTAGACTCAGACATGTGAGAAACTACTAAACTGAAAAATCATACACTTTTGTGTCAATTTTTATTTTAAAAAATTTGATTCAATACATTCTAACATCTTTTTTATCCGTAAGTAAACAACATGAGTATTTAATGTATACAATCGCTTACGTAAACTGTTTACACCTCTCCCTTCTTTCTCGACGCTCATTGAAGTAAAAATTTTTTTTTTTTTAATTTTGCAACACTGCAGGAATACATCCTATCAGGTACAGCAGTCGCCCCATTGGATAGACGTTAAAACCATACAAAAAATAATCAAAATTGTAATCTCCCTGTAAAAAATTAAGAGCTCCGGTTCTTCAACTCGCTGCGCAAAATTTTGCCGGACGCATTTCTCGGTATGGCTTCGATAAACGAGACACCACCAGCCAGTTTTTTGTACGGTGCCACCTGAAAATATGGTTTTTTCATGTATACGTATTTTACATTATTTGACATACGCACAAAAAAAAAGGTTTATATATTTTACTGGTATAATTATGCCTATGCATACCTTTGGCGTGATAAAGACCTGCACTTGATCGGCGGTTATGTCGAAGCCTGGTTTCCGCACCACGTACGCCTTGGGAAGCTCACCAGCTACGGGATCTGGGACGCCGATCACGGCTGCGTCCGCGACTCCCGGTATCTCCAGTATCAACGACTCCAGCTCCGTTGGCGAGACCTTTTTTTTTAGACATGATTATCATTACTATTATTACCTAATGTGTATTATCATATTGGTACCTATATGCATCGTAATTTTTCTTCAACACAACTTAATTGGCTTCAATTTGATCAACCAGTAAATAAAAAAAATACATGCACACAATGGTATAAGGTGTATGCCGGAGAATTTCAACAAGTTTTTCAATGCGAGACCATGTATTGAATTAACAAATCGTCAAACTATTGCAGCGCTCACCTATGTATCATATTTACAGTACTTTTTATCGTAATTATAAAATAAGGCAACATAAACATAATGTGTATTCCACGCGTACTCGCGTTTTATTGATTTATTCTTTTATGAGCCTTATTATGTGTATTTAGAATTTTTCATTGAAAAGTTTTGCCAAGTACAGATATAATTGTTTATCGTTTATAAAAAAAGAGTGAGAAAAATAATATTTTAAAAAAGTAATAAATCTTGAGAAATCGAGAACGGTGCAATTAAATTTCGCGCAAAAATTTTGGAGCCAAAGTCAGTAGCGCCACTCGCGGTTGTTATCCGTACTATAAAAAATGTGTGTGGCGCGCGAGAGAGAGCGAGAGGGGGGTTAAAGCGGGGAGAAGAAGAGAGAGAGAGAAATACACACATAACCTCTCGTACTATAGTAATCGGGGATCGGGCAGATAGGTAAATTGAGAAAGTGTGTTCCTTTTACTCTTCGATTCTGTTTTCGGCAAGGTAAGTAAAGGCCGAAAGAAAAAAGGAGGAAATCAGATCAGCGATCGGTGGCTCGCTCACGCGTTTTTAGACCTGTAAAAACACGCGCACTTACTCGTACGCAAGTGTATTACGTTGGCTTAAAATTTCCTCTCTGCCTCTGCCACCGAAACTGCGGGGCAATAAATACTTGAAATATCACATGCGGAGCGTATCTATGTTTACAACGGTCTCTACTTAGTCTCTCTATTACTTCTATTACCTAGTGCTCAAAAGTAAACATAAATATATAAACTCGGTAAAGGCCAGCAACAGCCAGTGGCAGCTCGTGTCTCTGTTAGACATTTGCGCAATTTTTTCTGTAAGTATGCAATTTTTTGAGCATCATTATCATCAGGATTTTTCATTTCATATGTATAAAAATTGTTGCATTACTCAAATATTCACTCATGCAGGTGCACAGCGATAACCTTAACGAGCGAGATGATGGATAATCCGGAGGACGTGCTCCAAGCACTGGATGAGTTTCAGAAGATGAAGCCCTCGGAGATACCCAAGGTACTGGAGGAATATCTCACGTGGGTGGCCAAGACGGGTGAGCCAGTTTACCAGTGGAGTCTCATCAAGACGCTCTTCAGGGAAAAGCTACTCAGAGTTATGAACGAGTTTTGCGAAAGCGGTAACCCCAGCCTTCTTGGCCCACCACTGCCAAACGTTGAGCCATTCAACTACGAAAACATGAAGGGCAGCTTGCTCGAACGCTTGGAAAGCTTTTCCAATCCTCCTTTTACCGTCCAGCGCATATGCGAATTGCTCATTGCACCCAGAAGGGAGTACAATCGCATTGACAAATACATGAGGGCTGTTGAAAAAAACATATTGGTGGTATCCACGAGGGAGCCAGGAGCGTTTGGCAGGCGTAGCGAGAATGGAGACAGTCTGGTCAACGGATCTGTTGAGGATGAAACCTCTCACCATGGCCAGTCCTCCAATGACGTTGACATGGAAAACTGGGTCAAAGATTGTACCAGCGCGACACCGACTGCCATGCACACAGCACCCAATGAAGACATGGCAGTTGACAGTAGTGAGCTCAAGTCTTTTGAGAAACAAGAGAGAATAGAACAATTGTCAGTCATCGATGCCACAGCCTCCAGCTATGTTACATCTGCAGTTGATTTCCAAGTGGCAACGACCATACCTCCGCCGATTCCAACTCCAGAGGTTTCTGCGGTTGTACAAAATCTGGCAGTTATAAGTGGCGAAGCACCCGGCCTTGTAGACGTTGATGCCATCATGAACGAGGATACTAGCTCGCAACCTAGCTTGGAGCTGGAGAGCGATGAAAACGACAGCAATGACTCCAAGAAATTGCCAACTACTTTCCAGACTAAAGATTTTAAGTTGGATGAAAATAAATCATCAGACTCTGAATCGCAAGACAGCAAATCGGAAGATAGTGTTGAAAGCGTGGAGTGCAGCAAAGAAACTGAACTGATTCAGCCTACCTATACAGAACAAAAACCAGTGGATCAACAAGAAAGTTCACATGAAGTGGAAGATGCAAGTAAAATCAATGCTTTAAGTGCTGTTGCTGGTGAACCTGAACAAGTTACTATGAAAATTGAACCACCGATTTGTGAGAAAAGTGAAGTTGATTCTAACGTGTGTGCAGATGGTTTTCAACTTGTAAATAACGTTGAAGTAAAACAAAACGATACAGAAGAGAAAGTAGAAGTTACTCCAGTCTTGAAAGAGGAAAGTATGCATTCGATTAAAGTTTTGACCGAGGAAAAAGTAGAAATCAAAGCTGAATCCGTCATTCAAGAAAACATACAAGTATTGACTGGTCCTCTTGAGGAACCCTCTGACAAAACTTCAAACGAGACAAATATAGCAATCATAGAAGAACCTCCTTCAAAACAAATTGACTCTAATAGTTCAATAGAACATCAAAGTACAGAACTGACAATACAAGAAGTTGTAGAGGACGAGGTGGAAGCAAAAACCATAGTTCCAGATTCAATTCCTTTTAACGAAGAGCCTAAAGAAACGAAAGTCGAAGAGCCTAGCGACGATGCAGTATCAGCTATTACAGAAGAATTGGTAACAGTCCCTGATACTGAACCACAAAGTGTCATAACCAACATTAACAACTGTTTGGTTGAATCACAAGTAGCAGCTGTACCAAAAGAGGATAGTCAAGTGGTCACGGCAAGCTGTGAACAAACCGTTAGTATCAAAGAAACAGTAGAATCAATGGACGTCGATGATGGTTCGGTAGCAAGTGTACAGCCTGAAGAACCTATGGAACAAGATGTGACTGAGGCCATGAATAGTTAATACTAAAATGTTATTTTAAACAAATGGACTCTGGTTTTTTCTCACGAATTAATTTTCGTTGCACAATGGTTGTCAAAGAAAAAGTGCTGTAAAAATGTGTGTTGGTAGTATCAAGAAGAAAATAACAAAACCACTACACGAACCGAATTTAGTAAATTTCACACCGTTGCGTAAATATTAACACAAAAATCCAACATTCTAACTTTTTTTATCTTGTGTTTTGATGCAATTTAATGATGTATAGCTTTTATTTATGACCTACCACTGTAACTATTGAATGAAATTAAAATCATGCACATATGATTTTTTTCTAAGCAGCACATCATTAAATTGTAACAACAACGGTACGGAATTTACAAGGTTGATTTTTCACGGCGGTTTTTCTGGTCGCTCTGGATTCGAATAGCTAATGTAAGTGATATTTGCTTGATGTTTCCTCTCAATGTGACGACGCCTTGAGCTGCACCAGGGATCAATTTTTTCAAGTTAACTTTATACACTTATCTTCCTACAGCAACAATTTGTTACAAAATCTCAAGTAGAAGTGAACCACTGCCTGTTTCAATGACGTCTTATGATGAATACAAAAACATGAGAATTTATAGAAAAAAAAAAAAAATTTATCACACACAGTGGTTACGTTCTCTTTGCAACTTGAAGTATGTTTTTAACTCTATAAGGTTGTTTCATAAAAAAAAAATTTTTTCTCTTGCGTTTTTGTATAAAAAAAAAAAAAAAAAAAAAAAAAAAAAAAAAAAAAAAAAAAAAAAAAAAAAAAAAAAA